GTGTGTGATCAAAAAGGCGAAGGGACACACAACTTAAAAAAACAATGCGGAATGCGAAACGTTTAGTAAAAGAAAGTGGCTGTAATCGTACGTCACAAAATTTTACCCTTTCTATAATTCCGTGATTTTCGTTATAGTAAAACCAGTGTTCGTTATGCTGTTCATCTATGGCTGTCAAGCGAAGCAAAAAGCTAGAAAGGGCTCTCTTGATTGTTGGTTTTGGTTTTTTCATTTCAAAGCATGCCAAGAAAAAATATTAAGTAACTCTTCTACTCTTCTGCCAAAATAAAACAACAAAGGAAGTTTTCTTTTGTCAAGTACTTCCTCCAGAGAACCAACTTCCGCTCTGATTTCGCTGCGAATAGAAATCTAGATCTTTCCTTTCATTTTGAAATCAATAAAATAGTTCTAATGTGTTGTAATCTTTAAACATACACAATGAATAACACATTTCGTTCAAAAACAATGGTCAAAAACAATGGTCAAAAACAATTTCAGAGGTGTTGACGGGCCTGTAGGATGATCGTTAATGGACAGATGAGGATCTTCGTATCTTAACTGTGACATAATTTTAATTGATTATTTCTCTCCATAGGACGTCCCTTTGTGATGAGAAGGGGGCTGGGACCATTTGCCTTCTTGAGTAGCAAAGAAACAAACCCACAACAAGGGGAAAATAACTCGATAGGCACCTCTTGGCTCACTCGTCACAATTTACTGGTACACGGGACCTACCTTGATGGACTAACTTCTGAAGTCAAGGACTAAAAACTGAGCTTGATTCCAACAGAACCCTTTTCTAGTTCATGTCCAAGACCGACATGGACGGCAGCGTATTCTCAATGTTATCTCCAACATTGCTATTGTTTTAATCTCCACACAGTGATGGACGAAATCTCAAGACAGGAATAGATGAAATAAAAAATGGCTCTACAATGTACTTCCTTATGTACTATCGAGCACTGGGTTCTTGTATTCTTCATATTTACTCTATTTGACCAGTATCACAAAAGAAGCGGAAGATGTCTCTTTGAAGTCACGGAATCCTTCCTAATCAGACAGGTCATTAAAAACACGAAGAAATGCTCCCATTGCAAACAGAAAGCTGAGAGAGTTCTTTGGCAATTGATCAGATTCACTTAGCATCAAAACTGCAGTCTCACCGAGACAACAAAACCGTTTCAAGGCTGTCTGTTATCACTAAGAGGATAGAGAAAACGGAGCTCGTGATCCTGGAACTGCAAATAATTACTCTAGGTGAAAAGATGAATTTGGATAAAAAAAAAAAAAACTATTTTACAAATGTGATTCTGACATGACATTTTTTTTGTTAAACATTGTAAATATTTGCTTAGAAGACAAATAACTTATGCGTTTGTCGTGAGAATAGTCAGGGTGATTATGCATTTACTCTTGCGCCAAGTATGGACAAATATTTCATCGTTAACACTGGACATATTTCGACTTTGACTCGTTCAAATCCAGACAAAAATCGTTTAAGACAATATTTCTGTGAGAGAATGTAGAACAAATGTAACATAATTCGCTCTAACGAAGGGCTAAAGATCGGAACGCGGTCAGCTTTAAAAACTCTTTACGGAACCAACAGTTGCTTTAACTTCCCCCTTTACTCAAATCATAATTTATCCTTTACATAAAGCACTGATTCAAATCAAGAAATTCTTTTTAGGCAGGGTGGCCCGTTCAGCTATAGGCTAGTAACAATCAGGGCTCTGCGTGATTTGAAGATTCGCTTTAAATAAACATATTTGCTTTTGCTGTAGATCATGTACGACTTTTCATGCCATTTTTTGTTGAAGTGAATACTCCATGGTAGTTGACATAATGATAACTCATATTATCTTGACCGAAAATCTTGATATTTCCCTGAAAACGTTGCGTGTCAGCAGCGCTGGTACGTGATCAGTAAGTGTTTTTTGTGTCTAGTGCGTTAGCACGCAGACACAATGGAAGAGCGTACGGAATTCGAAAAGCACTTTATATACGCCACATTTGAGCACGAAATATGATGTTTTACTCATAGTTTACCTTACGTGACATATAACATGAAGCGTACACTGATTTTCAACCAGTGGAATGTGTAACCATGTCGATATTTTATCGTTATAATTTCGGAAACTGTCGGTTGACCAATTGAATTCAAGTAGAAAACCGCAAGGAAGAGTCCGGAGCAATTGAATTCGGGGACGAAAATATGACGATGACACCATGTACTTTTACCCGTGTCTTTAGGAAAGGAGGAATTTCACACTTGTGGATCACACTTCGGGAAGTTGGTGAGTGTCCTTTTGCTCTTGTAAACTTTATGATGAACTTCTATAACGTTGGTTTCTCAGTATGCCACAGCTTTCAAAGTTTGAGTCAATGTGGTCGAGTAAAAGACTTTAAAGGATGTTTTCAAGTGTTCGATCGATGCTCTCCACGCCAACAGAATAGTCATGCTGCGGTGTTGTTTACGATGCGTAAAGGAAAGAGCTTCAGCTTCGTGAGCCCCATTTGGGGAAAAGAAAAGGCCTTAAAGGCAAACATTGAGCCCCTTTTGGGGAAAATTGAGGCCCTTGTGGGGATTATTGAGCCTGCCCGTTTGGAGATTACACAAAATGTATATCGAAGAGCGAGAAACCTGATTGATGTTAAAGGAAAGACTCCTTTGACTGACGAAACATCTGCGAAAGCTGTGGTATATATGAACAGAAAAAGTTATAGTAGTAGCAGTATAAATGCGATTAAACGTAATGTAAGCGATTTCTCGAAAACAACTGATGTGGATTTGTTGTGTTCACGCGTTAAAGAAATCAAGCAGCCATTCTAGAAGATTTTCTGTATCAAGAATGAAGCTTATGACTTCAGGTGATATTGAATTAAATCCAGGCCCTCAACTACATGTAAATGTCAACGCTGAAACTACAGTATCAGTTGGTTCCACCATATTGTTAAACTTTCGGGTACATCAGCTGGGATTGAGACCCCTAGATGTTGGGGGTGCTGGTGACTGTTTTTTTAGAGCTGTTTCTCATCAGTTACATGGTGATCCATGCCATCACTTGCATGTTAGGCAAACTGGTATTGATTATCTAAGAGCAAACCCAGAACGTTTCATTGAAAGCAATACCCAGAATTCATGGAATGAATATTTGACCAACATGTCATTACAAGGTACATGGTGTGATGCACTTATTGTTCAAGCAGTTGCAGAGTCACATTATTTGAGAATTCACATCATAGAATCCCATGAAAATTTTTGTCACACAACTATAGTACAGCCTGTTCAGTTATAAGAAGAGCCAGTTACATCAATATATTTAGGTCATGTAAGTGAAGTACATTGTGTCAACAGTGCCTTGTATGTTTGGCAGTAGCTCATCAGAAAGTCAGCAAAGTCATAGTGATTTAAATATGATTGAAGAAAGTGTTGTCTCTGGGAATTCACATATCAGCACTTCAAAAAGGAAGTGCAGCAGTTACATGAGGGAATATAGAAAAAGAAAGAAGGTTGATGAAAGAAGAAATTTACCATCTAAAGGAAGCAAACCTAATGATGCAAGCACAAAATGCAACAGCAGTGCTTACATGAGGGAATATTATTGCAAAAAAAAGAAAAGCAGTGACAATAACAAGGGGAAATTGAATGAAAATAATCTCAGCCATAGATGCGAAACTACAAACAAAATTCTTATCTTGACGAAAATCAAAATACAGAATGTCCCATTAAAATAGGAACAACTCTTGAAGAAGGTAACAATACAAACCAAAAAAATGTGGACTATTTCAATTCATTGTTTCATGAACTGGTGTCCAATGGTCCTGTATATGTCTGTAGCTGTTGTGATCAGGTATGGGATAAACACAGTGTTTCTCTTGCTGATAAAATAAGAAAGGAATATCCTTCATCAGCTGAAAAATATTTATCTAATCAAAAAAGTGTGAAAAATATGGAGTGGTTGTGTAGAACATGCATAATTATTTAGTAAAGAATAAAGTTCCCCCTTCTGCTGTTTTGAATGGAATGCAATTTGCAACGAAACCAGACTTTTTTGGCTTGAATGAATCAGAAAGCAGACTTTTAGCTCCAAGACTTGCTTTTTTAAAATTAATGCAGGTACCAAGAGGTAGACAATTCAAAATACATGGAAATGTTGTAAATGTACCAGCAGA